TACTCCTCATTCCATATGCGTTGCACTAAGTGGTGCAGCACATTAAGCAACGCAGGTCCGACCAGTTTCAATACTTCAGACGGGATTCCTTCGGCACCGGTACAGTTGCCGTTTTGCAGCAGAGCAAGTGCTCTCTGCGTCTCATCCCATGTCGGTACGTCCGCCTAAGACACCCTCACATCGTCCTGCTTGAGGCCGTTCAATCTAGGCCAGTCAATATCTGAGTGGTTGCTCAGGAGACAGTCAAACTATTTTTGTCAGATCTGCATTTTGTCTGCAGTCTGTGTGCAGGCAGCATCTGAACTACCATGGATTAACCTCCTCCTTCAAGGAATCAAATAATTACTTATGTTGACGGCGTTAGCGTAGCATTATATCTGCATTACCTTCTCTGTCCACTATGCATTTTTAATGTGACGGAGCTCTCGGATCAGTCATCGTCGACTTCTGATAACTTTCACTTCTTCCCTATGTCACTGGTTTCTGCTACATGTGCCGCAACTGTCGCGTTCTTCTCCGACACCTGTGTGCCAGTCATCTCATTGTTCTCATCAAACCAATCAGGTAGCTTACAGTTTGTGCGCCTGATGGTTTCTTCAGCAGCAGCTGTCACCCGGACGCGAATCTCGTGCCACAGGTCGCGCACTGTGGCTATGCATTTCACATCACACAGGTGTGAAGCCATCATCTTTGCCAGCTCAATAACTTTCTCCACAGTACGGAGGGAGAAAATGTTAAATTTGCACCGATTCACGGCATGAGTGTTATACATAGATTAATGAAAATGTATTCATCGTTTGGTCTGCACCAATTTGTGATCAGTGCCGCATCCAGCTCCACGCAATACACGTGTCATGCGCACTTCATGCATATCACGCTGACGCAAGATGGCGTAGTCGAGCAGGTAAGCGTGCCCACTCCGTCGGTGCGTCCAAGTTACTATATCTCTCGCCCTCAGTGCAAAATGAGTGTTTGTGATCGTCAGGTCGTGAGTAGCACACAGTGACAGCAGCCTGTCACCCTTCGCATTCGCTGAGCCAATGCCATGCGAACCGATAACATCTGTCCACAATGATGCATCACGCCCAACGCGCGTGTTGAAATCACCCAGCAGAAATAGTCGGTCGCTCCTCGGCACAGACCGTATCACGCACGATTTCTGAGTGTAGAACTGATCACTCGTGTCATCAGGATAACACATGATCGGAAAGTACGGGCTTATAAAAGTGGCAAACTTACCTCTTCCGAGTGGTAGGGGAAGTGTCATCAGTCGCCCGCTAATGCCTGTTGATTAACCCATGGCCATGGAGGCCATCGGATATTGCGAATCCGACGCCACGTCCACTTGGTGCTGAGGGAGCGTTTCCCACCCAGTAGAACGTGTAGCCAGCAGATACATCATGCAACCTACCTTGCTCAAGGAGCTGGGTCTCAGCGAGCGCCGCCATATAGATGTTGTAGCCCGCCAATTCCATCGCGACCAATGCAGTACGTCGTTAAGAGCGTTTACTCGATTTCCGGTCCAGTAGTGTTCACACGTTACAGCACCCAGTGTTGAGGCCTTTGCGCGCAGACATCCGATTGCATTGGTGGGCATTCGCACGCGCGATGGTAGTTGTGCTTCGGAGGTTTGCTTGAGGGACTCCACCCGGAGCCTTTGATTCAGTACTCAGACCCACAAGACAGTGGGGAGTAAATCCAGCTGAGGAATGTGATTGCAGAGACAGATCGGGATCTGCATGATGGCCGTCACTACCAGCCTTTGAGGTTCTGAAACGATTCATATGTGTTTTGTAACCGTAATAGGATACGCACCTGCGACCACGACCAGACGCACGAGGTTTTTAAGGGGTTTGTACCAATTTGACCTGGGGCAGCCTGGTTTGAGGCGGGCAGCATCAAACCACTGATCATCCGTAGGTGCCCTCCTTCTGTCGGAGACAAGGCGTGGAGCTCGTGCTCTACGCCAATCGAGCGGTGATCTTATAACCCGTAGACCTGTTTCCTCCCATGACTAGGTTTCACGAGAAGTGGGCCATCGACGACTTCCTAACCTCCGAAGAGGACGGACTAGGATACTGGCAGTGCGCCCACACCTGACAGGAGAACAACTCAGGTCCTCAGCCAAAGCCTTCGATTTATTGTACCCCTGAAGGGCAGCGAGTTTAGCACAGTTTTCTTTCACTGACACATGCAGATTGGTGTCGTGGCTCTTAGTTAGGAGAGTGACGTATATATAAATATATAACTCTCTATAATGACCTATCTAAAGTCATGTATGTCGCTAACGATGACAGATAGACGCATCGCAAGCAAGCAGTATATTGTTCGTATTTCTCGGAAGCTATTTTTTCTGTTCTTGCTGGATTGTATATCCGCTATACACTTAGTATTTTAGGCAAAAGCGTCAGGTACACAAACCTTTAATTGGTTATTTTTTACGCGTTATATCCTGCACTCTCTCGAGCCATCGGTAATCCTAGTCCTTAGGTATCCAACCAGGAAAGCCTAAAATGTCAACGGCACCATGAGGTGAAATCAACGAATTCATATCGTCACTGCTGTCCAATGAGTGACGACTACGTGACCGCTTTCAGCCGAGCCTTGCTCCAGCCAACAGGGTGCGATGACGCAAACGTTTGGCTGATCTCTTGGTCATCTTACTTGGCACACTAAAACCAGCTTGTTGAAAGAAATGCTAGCATTCTGTAACCCACGACATCTAACCTCGCCGTTGCAAATACGTTGTTGCTGACGCAGTCCAGCAGTGGTCCTCAAGCACCAAATGTAGAGGGCCTAGAGCCGACGCATGCCATTTACGCTGGCAGGTGACGACTCATTTTAATATAGTAACATCGGCAGAACAGTGGCAGCGTAAACGCGACCATTTCGACAGTAGGAGATATTCGGACGACGCCCAAAGGTCTCAGATTGACAAACGCCGACCAAATTTTGTGCTGTGAAGAGAAACTTCGCTTTCTACTGGTGCCACCAGCAGAAGCGCAGCGGCACGAGTGTGCAAAGCAATCCACTTGTTCCAGCTGTGGAGCTTCAAGATTGAGCATGGAAGTGGGGCCAGTGCGAATCCTGGAGTAGTACTTTACGCTATGACAGGGTAAAGCTCATCCCGTACTTGATATTTTTATTACCAAAAGGTTCAGGATGGTATGCATAATCTGCGAATCGTTCCCAACTAAGTCGATGCCATCAGCACATTCTGAAAGGTCAACCTCTTACCACGTGGTAGCTTTATCGCCAGGCCAAGGCTTAGCACAGGTCAGAACTTCTATGGTTACTTTTATCTCCATTCAATTCGTATACATGTACATTAATATTTGTGCGGGATACAAAAATTGCAAGTGCAGTTTACACCAGAACAACAGAAAACCACATTTGGGTGAATAAACCGTAGTGTTTGTGCATCTGACACAGGGAGGAGGGAACCTATCTCCACTTTGTCGTAATAAAGCCAGAGTTGAGCTATTCTGGGTATAAATAATCGTACTAATTAAACAATTAGAACTGAACACACAAAATGTTTGGTCGCGATTGCGTAGATCAGTGTGGCGAAAATTTTGCTGGGAACATTCCTTACCTACTCACAAATTAGAATAAAAAATATTGAGAAGCAATCCCGAACAGGTGGATCGTAAACGACAGTCAGTTATCTGCAAACGTAAAGTACTCCAATGTTACCAAAACTACTGCTGTCACTAGCAAAATATTTGTGTAAACCATTTTCTTGGGCTACTTTCAGTCGCATTTATCCCCTCTAAACAAGATTCATATCACCGGGTGAACAGCGCTAGCGGGGAGGAGAGACTTAAGTGTGTAGCGTGCTGCATATCGGTAAACTGAAAAATCTTCTTTTGACTGGATTGCAACGCGCGACCTCTGTTGGAATTTCATTTTATTTTGAAGTAGACCGCTCATCTCAATCACTGCGACCGTATTCGAAAGAAGGGTTTTCGACGTTGCTCAAGGATCTCACTGGCATCTGCCGTTAACCACCCCAAGCTCCGTCTATCTTTACTCGATGCATCTGAGTGATGACGTAATCGGTCGTTGGGTGTAGTGATGGGAGTAAGCAGCACAGAAACTCCACTTTGATGTTATTTTGCTGAGGTTTACCATGATATCTTACCAATTGGTCACTCGCATAATTTATTTATGAAGGCGCACGGATCAAATTATGAAATATGTACTACTAAATAAATATCTGTAATTTTAAAATTACTTTGGTAGTTGGTGACAAAGTATAGGTGTGATATCTATGTAAAGCATCTGGACGCCTTACAGATGCATCTGCAATTGGCCGAGATGCCATGCCTCAAATTCTATGGATATAAATTGAGAATAAATGCTGTCTTCTTGAAAGTAGGAGTACACTTACTTGAAACTGTGTACTTTATGAACAGCATTGTATAAGTATAGGCGTTGTATGCAGCGAATTTATCCAAACTTCCTCATTAATAGACCTGACAGACAAACTCAGATTGGAGGAGTCACCCCTGGCTAGAACTAGAAGCTATTAGTTTTCTATGCGCTCACTTAGATAATAGAATATGGTTCATCACAAATTTCCACTCTCTGTCTTACATTCTTTACGCTACATCATTAACAATAACTGCATTTAATTCACGTTTGATACCGATTACAAATTCCTAATGTACTTGTTGTTATAATTAAAATTACTTCTTCGAAGCTCCTGCTCCCTATCCAAGTGAAGCTATCACTTTAAAGCTAAGCTGAGTACTAATCCGTTAGCTGTGTGGGAAGTCAAGTTATTTTGGCTTCTTACCACACTTACTAGTGTTCTTATAGCCTGAAATGCTTGTTTCTTGTTCTAAGTATGATATTTTGGCATTTGTATTTGCCTACTATGCTCCGTTTTCGGGAATGATCACCGACCTGTTCTACGTTTTTTCTTACTTAACTTTGTCTCACAGTTTATTCATTGATATCCGTGTATTTATAAAAAGGGCTCTAAACTCACTTACAAGTAAACTTCAACATCAGGTCTGCCAGGTTTGTAACTTTGTCCGCCGTCTGTTTTTCATATATTTGTTGCAGTATTGGACCAATTTGATCACTCAATTGTTCCTGCATGACCGCTTTTCCCCATGCCATTAGAGCACCGAATAGCGCAAGCAAAAATCCAGCCAGCTAGAAAAATGCAATAATGTGTTTAGTAACGAGATCTTAAGAAATAACCATAGAATTGTCTATGGAAATCTCCAATCAATTCCCACGCAGAAAGAGTTTCTAAATAGGTGGATTTTGTTAATGGAATTCACGGTAACTCCTACACATAGTACCAACTTCTGCACTCAGAAGATACTGCTCTTTGGACCAGTGTATCCCTTATGCTCAGATGTCACCACCTGATATTAAGAGATTGTAATTGGCGATGGCATAAACAAGCCTAATTTTTGAAATCGTTATTGCATAATTTATTTGTTTCGCCAAACAAGATTTTAGCGGTGGTTGTTAACACCTGTGCTATCTTACGGTGTTTGAGCAGTTGGCGCATATTGTTTAGGTAAAATTGCATACTTTCGCCTGCCTTGCTCTTCATCCATTCGTGAATGTACGTCTGCAGTTTGATTTTCCACTTTGTCTCGGTCTGCCCATGTACAACCGACTTGCGAATGTGTTGTAGACAAGATGCAGGCATCAGAAATACTGCTTGCCACACCAAAGTGAGTTTACAGAGGGAATGCTAGCTAACGTTATCTCAGGTGTTGACATAATTGTATATCAGTCGTCCGGACTCTGTTATTCTTCTCGTCTAGCGTTCCAATTTCTACAGGTTCGATGGAACTTGCTTAGTAGCTTTGCTTAACAGCAAAATGAATGGACTGTAGAGGCAGTTTTTAACCTTCGTAGGCTAAAGCTTAGTGCTTGTAATAGGATTGATACAAACACAGGAATTCTGTAGGACAAAGGAGCCGTTCGTATATGCACTATCGCAGAATGTTTCTTTGCAACGTGCTTTTTCTGGCATGATACAACTTTCACTACTCTTAACTTCCGGTCTGCCAGTTAGTCACCATCTGGATCTAATACAAATAGACCATTGACGAAACATTTCTTATTATGCTCTATTGTGAGATTAAACGAAGTGTCTTGCTGGAACTAGTAGGTTGAGCTTAACTGACGCTTCACTTTATGAACACGTCGATGGTTGTTGTATGCAGCAAATTTGGTACGGATGCCCCACTAACAGGCCCGATAGACAAACTCATAAATGAGTGAGACTCCTTTTCTGTATACTCGCCTGAATAATGAATTATGGGATAATGCAAAAGGTGGTGTCACACAGGATGGAGATCGCCGAGTAGTTATTGCACTAGTATATGATCTCCGTGTAGCCACTGACAGCGTCCCATAAACATTAACTTTTTGATTATTTAAGAATAGTGGGATGTGCTAAGAATTATCCTATTCATAACAATTAGATTACCATCCAGCTAGGTGATTGTAAATACCAATTCGGAAAAGAACCAGACGACCTTTCGCTCTATTGGGGTTCATCTATGTGCACATTTTCTCGGTCCATTTAAGGGACCCGAAGCCATGACTGATAATGGCTTGCATCACAAGCCAGCTGTTTAGATTTCAATCCATGGTGGTTGGCTATGGTCCACATGATTAAGTAACATAAGGTGCTGGCTAGTGATGCAATGTACAGGCGATCAAGAGTTCGGCTCACTGAATGGCACTGAGGGAACCTCAATAAGGCGAAACGAACGTTTGGCCCACTTTAGGATGGGTAATTGAAAATACCTATCTGGTTTGTAGTCTAATTTCAATGAACTGGATAAAGCTGAAAACCTTAACCGCCACTGATACAGAAAACGGAATAAACCCTCAACCTTCTTCGCATCCATGCATTGTGGGAACTCTAGTGCTTCGAGGTCATGCTTTATTTCAAGTGTCTAAGCCTTAACACTGAGCTCTATGTGGAGGCCGATACAGTTGTCTGGCATTAGCCCGAGAGTGAGGTAAATCCACGAGTGTCCATTGTACGATATCGACATTTAGTCAAACCATTTTAAAACATACTGAACCTAGTTGGAACAACTAACCTCGTTCTGTACGAAAGTACTGAAATGGAGTTCATGAGAAAGATGGTTTGCAGGTTCTTCGCTTCCGTTGTGTAGCGATGTGCTTACGCATGTGTGCGAACAACTAGACAGTTGTCCACTTTGGATAGCTGTGTATTGCTCATGGACCAACTCGATGCCCATAATATCGGTGGGAAAGACCACAAGTTTCTCCGACCTTTTACTCGCTTGTCATATGGTCGTATACTTCGCGAAACTTAGATAAGTTAAAGTCCTGAATTTTGCTAGGTCGTTATAACGAACAAGAACATGCTAGGTTCTTGTCTCTAGCTATACGTCTGGCAGCAATAGACCTGAATTCGATCGGACTAAGAGGGTCAAACCCTAGCCTTAATCGGGTCTAAGCAGACAGGTTCCAATTCCTCTCAAAATTGGATTACCAATACCGCGGTTCTGAAGTTCCTAGAATAGAGCACAACAATTCAAGTAACCGAAGGACTTTGAGCAGCCTAAATGGATAGCAGAATTCCCTACCCATTAGCAGTTGTGTAATTCCAACTGCCGCGTGCAGTTAACAGCCATGTGATACGCATGCGGTGTTTACTATGCTGCTCCGGTGTGACTACACCATAGTTTTCAGGGTAGCTCATTAGTGTATCCGCGATACTCGCTTCCAATACTTTGGTAAACACAGGGAGAACCTTTATTTGTGGTTGTTTGAATGCTCAGATTGACTTCTTCCTCTGTGAGCAGCGATGATAACACCGCATTTCCCCTTTGCTCGACCTCTGTTCTCATCTAGACGGTACCGAAAATACGAGTCCTGCATTTTGACGAAGTGCTTTGAAGCTACATGAAACGCTCTGAGGTACACTTCAGCTGCTCCAGGCGATCCGTTTGTATGCGGAGGTAGGATGTGCTTTAACAAGGCTGCTTAAGTACGACTAAAACCATATAAACCTGATGGCAGTAAAGGCGTTCGATTTTGGTTTACTGTAGAAGTTTGGTGGATAATGGGCTGTAACGAGTAGTATGAATCCGCGCTGGATTTTGCAGTCTATTGACGATTGATTAATACTAGTAAAACTGTTCGAGGTCAGTCAGTGGCATACTTTGAAGCATCAAAGCAGTTGCTGAATGCGTTTACACTTCAGCACCTGAGGCACACCTTAATGCAGTTGACAATTGATAGTCCTGTACCAACTTACATGTCAGTGCACAGTGGTCATCCGGCTTGAAGTAAACGTTGTTAGGTCACTGGGTATTTACAACTATATACTTAAGCCCATTAGGTGACAGTCTGTCTTTTCCCTTGGTTGCGTTCCTTAACCTCTTTTAGAAAGACGTTGATGCCGACCTCGCTTTCCCCTGTAATTGACCTATACGTTATGAAGAGATTTCGGTACACTAAAGTTTCACCTAAAATGGGTTTACACGGTACACGCGCATAGAGTCACTTAGAAATCCAATGCCGTCCAAGCAAACAATAGACCTACCTATCTATTAGAACGTTATCGACACAGGTAAAACACAGACGTTGTATTTTCGTCATGAATAATGTTTGCTCGGATGAATACATGAATGATAAATGAACTCACCCCAACGGCTGTGTTGATGACAAAAAGAACGATCCGACAGGTGCAATTACACATGGCAGATAAGTTCACGGTTCGCTCAACAGTGGGCTGAAAATGGAACGGTGGCATCCAGAGTTTAAGCATCCTGCTTGCACTACCTACGGAAATCACAAGAAATGTTTGCTTGTAATAACTAACCCAGTAATAAAATCTTCAAAGAAACAGTGTACCGGTTCGCCAAACAGCCCTAGTTAGCATAATGCATTCTTAGGAGGACTTAGTGCAACTAAGTCCATCTGGTCAGGTTGAATTGTACTTTAGTACCACAGTTCGAATGAACAACTTTTTAGACTACGTATGTGAGATAAGTATTTGCAAAATAATTAATGCTCAAGGTTGTACATATAAAAATACTTTTATTGCTAAGCAACAGACACATAACCGTGACTACCTAGTTTCTGATGACTGCGTAATGCGGAAGGCTTGCTTGTATCTCTTTCTGACCAACAGGGAGATGTGAATGCTAGCAACAAAATAACGACCCATTGGGAGAAGACACACAGGCATCTGACTGGGAACTACCACCGCACCTCTCTTATTGCCATCTGGTACACAAGACTTAGTGACCTGGCATGGTCATCCTAGCGATAGCTACTGACTGCAGATACAAGAAGCCATGTCGTCGTTTTGTGATCAAAGTACCCGTTTAGTACCCATGCCTGCCATTCATCACTATGAAATAAAAAATTCAGTTGCATAACATTTCGTTCTGGAGTTTCGGCTTGAGCGCCAAACGTTACTTTGACGGAACCAAGTCTGATGGGGTATATGGAATGCACCTACAAATCCTAAACTCTTTATCGGCCCACATCTCGCACTCCGCAGGTGAGCTGTTTATTATGTCGCTGTCCATAAGTTTAGTGCCAAGTGACTGTAAATGCTCAGTCGTAAGGGCAATAAGGAAAGGTGATGACCCGAGGAAATTGGACAACTACTGGCCAAGCTGCCTGACCGGTGTTTCGGCTACAACACAAGAGAATAACGTGAAGAAGGGACTTCTGCAGCCTCTTGTGTCGAAAAGCCTCTTGATGTCCGGGCAGCATGGTTTCGTGAATGGTAGCTCATGCATTGCCAGGTTGCTCGTGACGAGGCACGAATGGTTCCAAGCGCTGTACCATGGGAAGTTGGATGAATTCATTGACATTAAATCCAGTTAGGCCTTTGACAAGATGAACCACGAAATCCTCTTTCAATACTAAACGGTAGCTTTCTCGCATTTGAGTGAAGAATTATGTACGACACTCGGCACTGACATCCTCGATTAGGATTGAAAGAATAAGTGTCATGCTCAATGGTTGTACTTTCTTTGAAGTGAGTACGCTGGACCACGTCTCTAAAGAACAAACGCCCTGGAAAATCCACGGAAATTCAAGTATCCAGGCAAGGTATAGAGGGTGTCACGCCAACGAGTTTTCATGCTCTGCTTCGCAAGTTAATCACAAGACCTGTACCAGCCCTAGTCATCGAGATGCATTTATTTCCTTTACGATTGCCGAACTGAATAAGGGACAATTGCTATAGATTTCTAAAGTAGAAAACAATAAAACTACTCTTATTTAGAATGAAATAAAGTTGCTTTGAAGTAGAAGACGGTCACGACGTTTGTCATCCCAACCTGGAGGGATGTAAGGGGTTGTACAAATGGGTTGTACAAATGCTTCCATTCATGATTTAATTGCTCGGAGCAGATTAATCAGCTGTGCACTTTGGGCCAACATTATGTTATTTCCACTTTGAATCGGTATCTATCGTAGATATGCAACAACTCAACCGCCTGAGGCATGTAATCCAATCGGGGACAAATCTCAAACAGGGGCTTAGAAGTATCCATAATAATCTTATAAAGGAATTTATGGCAAACAAAACGGCGACCTCTTCTTCTACGAAATTTATACCTCCTAAATCTCCGAAACCGCCGTCCATACGCTCTTCTCCGAATCCGATGTAACCTGGAAGTTCGCAGGTAACGGCGCCGCGCACCTCTTCGCATATTCTTCCAAAACAAACTCCCTGAATTCCAAAAGCTGTGTTATCAGCGAGTTCAAATGATCCAACAACGTCTCCAAAGTCCGTTTCACCTGCGGAGAACAGCAATGACCCGTACAATTACCGTAATGCTTCCTCCAAGCCGCTATTTGAGTAAATAACTGCTCTTCAGACCTCCTCCACTTCGGAATCTCGTCGCACATACCGTACAAATGAGTAAACCTTACAAATCATGTGATCATAACCCTAAGGCCCTAACCTTAACCGATGGTGGATTGGCATGGTGGACTGCTAATGGTGCTTCAGCCTGGGTTTAGGGATAGTTTTAGTTGCCAGCAGTGGCGCATGGACTGGTAACGTTAGCTATATGCTAACGTGAGGGTTTTGCCTAACCCTAACCCTAACCCTAACCAAAACCCTGTCGCAGCGTTCACGCTGATAAAGTTGGATTCCTGGCGCTGCATCCTAAGTCCATATTGAGATTGTGCACAAAAGACATTCAGGTCCAGTATGATGGAACAATCTATCGTCAGGCAGATGGTGTGGCCATGGTCCCGCCCTGGCCGATATTTGCATGGGCCACTTGGAGAAAACCGCGCTACGTGATAGCATACAAATTGTCCACTTATACTGTAGGTACACTGACGACTCATTTGTTGTGGTTGACACTGCTGCACAGATAACGCACTTGCTCGAAGCTCTAAACACGTGCCACCATGCAGTCACATTCACTATGGAAAGTGAAATCGATAACACGTTCCACTTTTTGGATGTAAAGGTAGAGAGAAATCCAGGCGTACGCTCACTCGATCCGAGCATCACAAGCCCACCTGGACAGGACAGTACCTAAACTTACAGCTTTTGTCCTATAAACTATAAACGAGCATTGGTTCTCACCACCTTTGCGAGCACCCGTAAGATTTACTCTGAAGATAATATTAGCAGTGAGCTAGGGCACGTATCCTCGACCTCACAGGAAAAAGGATAACCTAAGAGATTTGTACCAAGGTACGCAAACACAAAAAGCAAAGAAAAACTACTGACTGATACCCCAAGAAGAAAGTCTTTGTTACACCGCCGTTTAATGGGGACCAAAATGAGAGAAGATTCCGGCACAGTCTCCACCAGATGAGAAAGAAGTGTTTTTATACGACCGTATTTGTGCTATTGCACCAAGTGATGATGCTGCTATGTAAATCCAACCTGACAAACCAGATCCTCTATTTACCGCCCCGTGAGTTTACCTCTTTCATTGTACTTGTGGTAGCACGTACGTAGGTCGAACAGAGAGAAGGTTGTCAACCAGGATTTCAGAGCATATTCCACTTAATATGGTCGCAAACGGTCCCAAGCTGTCAACAAGCTCCATTGCGCAACCCTTCACGAGATACTTGGAAAGTTGGAAGTGATCCTCGCTGTTAAAAAACGAATAACATCACATTTGAAAACTTACCGATTCCATGTATTCACGCATTCATAGAGAAGCGTCTTTTTGTGCCTCTTCTCATTTACAAACAACTAATTTATAGCCCACAAATCCATGCCTAAATAGCAGTAATACGCTGCACAAACCACATCATAAGAGGCGCCGTATTTCTATTTTTGGGTGCGAAATACATTCGGTGGCGGATGTTTGCGGAGCTGAGGAAATTGCACGATCATTAGACCATACGTATGAAATGGGAATCTGAAGATAAACGTGGCGTATGCACATTGATGAATGCCTCACAGCATTCACCATTCAGCGAATCATCAACGGAATGATAAGCGAACGTGTTAACTGCAGCTTACAGTAAATACTATTACGATCGGATATTTACAAGGCTTTTAAGGCAGTTTTCTTTCTCAAGCTTCATTTAAGGATAAATGATTTTGCTTGCAAAATTGCAACGTGGTTCTTGTGGTGTAATTTGTGTGCACTCCTTGAGTTAACTGGAAGTGTAGATAAAACCTGGAGATTCACCATACGCTCGTTCCTTTCGAGGCTGGCTTGCCGAATTACCTTCTCTTGATGCCAGCTGGGTAGTTCGTGTGTACCCCTTTCAAGCGTAATGTTCGGCGATAGTATTCCACCTCGGTGGGGCATTGTAGTGCAGTAATTGTGCGGATTTCATAAGCAGTATTGGGCCTCCGTTTGATGATCTAGCAAACAAATGGCCCATGAACCGAACATTCAGTCAACGACTCCCAATGGACGCGATGCCCTGAATTCCTCCCGTTGCGTTGCGGATAGGTGAGTTAGCCAAAAGCTCAATGTAGGATCCCTTAAGTCAGCTCCCTAACTCGGCTTGGGCAACCGGGTAGTAGCACATCCTCCCACAAAACCATGGACGGTACTACAACGTGCACATCAGCAACCGTTTCTGCTTCGTACATTCACACGACTTCAATGCACGCCAATTGTTTTTGCTAACAAACCTTGCATTTCTTTCCCCGATTCATGTGTTTAAAAAGCTGGTTGCGATTCCTGTTGCGGCGCGAACCACTGAGTTCAACCTATGGCTGTCCTTCATCCCCGATCATGGTTTGTCTGGCGTGCTGCTACTTTCGGGCACGCATGCAGATTGGACAGCAAGCTTGTCAAACGCGCATCCTAGAGTCCTTCGATATTGATGCCTGCTACCTTTCAGAAACCCGATTGCCAGGGCCCAGCACTGTGCTTACATGGACATCCTTCACTGACCACGGAGCCATATATCACCTGTGTCTTTCTGAATATTCAGAAGCAACCTTAGTGTGTTTGGATGGTGCAGGTATAGCACTAACTGACAAGGCCGAGGCGGAACCACTGAACTGTTTCTCGATTAATAGCCAACTGTGTGCAGTTCGGCTTCGGGGTTCATGTAGAATCAACAAGCGACGCCAGGAGAGACGCAATTTATTTGTGGTCTCCGCGTACGCTCCAAATTACTACAGCGGCTCCTCGGTCAAGCACCACTTCTACCGGAAACTACGACAGCTCTTGACTAATGCTAAAAAGTCGGATGTCGTCTTTGCTGGGGATTTTAATGCACGGGTTTGCCTCCTGTTACCATACGAACGCCACCTTGGTGGTCACCACGCGCTCGATGAGAACCGCTTTGTTAATGGAGAAGAGTTTCTCACATTGTGCGAAGACAACCATCTGTTACCCACGAGCATTAACTCCAGGCGTACGAAGAAGCGTTCCGCAGCGTGGCTTCCCCCTTCGCCAACCCAACAATAGTCTCAAATCGATCACATTGCAATTAGCTTCAGACGGCTTGGCAGCGTACTGGACTGCAGGTCGTTTTGGTCTACGTTCGTTGACTCAGATCATGCACTGGTCTGCATAAAAATCTACATGTGTTTTGGATGGTCACGAAACACGAAGCATATCATGACTCATGTAAACAGATTAACTGATTCCTCTGTTCAAGCGAGCTATCAGTCTTCACTGGCATACGCACTCATTTCCAATCCACTGCAAGACATAGAGCAACACTGAACCAGTATCCAGAAAGCGATGACCATTTCTGGACAGTTTAGCTGCGGCCTAACTCGACGTCGCGTAAAGACTTGGATATCTGCTCGTTCTCTGGAACTGTTCGAACGCCGCAAAGATATCCCGGCAGAATCAGGTTACAACGAGCGGCGCCGTTCTGACAACCGGCTGATCAAGCAAGGCCTGCGCAAGGATCGCGAGAAATGGTGGTCTGAGCGTGCTTTAGAGATGGAGACCGCTGCTCTGTCCGGCAACACTCACAAGCTATTCCAACTCGTTCAATCCACTGGCTTCAGGAAGCCTGTTGTCAGTGAAGTCATTTGCGAGGTGGATGAGTCCCCGACCACACACTAATGGAGGTGTATGCACTGCTGGGCCGAGCACCTTCACTCGAAATTGAACTGGCCTCCATCGTCCATCAGTGCATGCAGTACACCTTGTTGTCCACCCTGGCTTGTCCCACTGAATCCACCCAACGGCAAGCAAGCGGTTTAAGGCCGCCGGCTCAGACGGGCTTCATCTGGAGCTGTTCAGATACTGCGACGTGGCGATCATTAACCAGCTGACCTCGTTGTTCGCAAAAATCAGGTGTGAAGAGAAAGTGCCGTCATCTTGGGGGGAATCAGTTATTGTCACGATTTTCAAGAAAGGCGCTCGCACTTCATGTGTAAATCATCGCGGGATAAGTCTTATTTCGGTTGCCTCCAAGCTACTGGCATCCATACTGCTGCCTAGACTATCCCAATACGTGAATCAGCCTACCGTGAAGAATAAACTGGTTTCTGTCCTGGCCGCGTCTGCGTGGACCCAATCTTCACCCTCCGCAAACTCCTCGAACATAGCCACATTTATCACAGGTCCACTCTCGATGCATTCCTAGACATACGTGCCGCTATTGACTCCGTCGATCGACGTGCATTATGACGTTGCTTGCTAAAAGACGGAGTGACAGAGAAATATACCTCAATCATACCAGCACTTTACCTGCATACATCCGGCAGAGTGTGGCTCTATGGCAAGCTTTCCTTGCAATTCGCTGTCAATAACGGTGTGCTACAGGGCTGCCCTATGTCCCCATTCCTCTTCAACTTCACAATCGAAGACGTTCTGTCGAATGCCCTAGAAGGTTTCCAACATTCTGGCCTAAAGCTTTTACCTGTGAGCGCGCGACCGGCTTAGATTATGCTGATGATAATGCCTTACTTGGTGACGATCCACAGGGTAAATAACTCATTCTGGATCGTTTGGCTGTTGAAGCATCAAATGATGGTATGAGCTTCGCGCTAGTGAAGTGGAAGTACTGCTCCAGTATTGGCTTACACCTGCTTCCGTGCACAACTTGAACAGGTAGGTAGTTTCGTCTACCTTGGGAGCTGTGTTTCTGCTGAAGGCATTATCAGCATAGGAGCTTCTCTTAGCATCGTTAAAGCCCGATCAGCATTTGTCAATTTGAGGCACTTGTGGCGTCGTCGCGACGTCTCATTCTCCTTAAAGAGCAGTGTCTACAGCGCATCCGTTAGTTACGTGCTATTGTGTAGGAGCGAGTCCTGGTCAATTAGCTTAGAAAACATATGTTATCTTTCTGCCTTGAATAACGTTGCTTATGAAGCTTTGTTTTCTTCTGTGGCAACATCAAATTAACATTTCTAACTTTCGGCGTCGTATCTTGGAGAATGCGAGTATTACCTTCAGCAAACTGGTTTTGATGCGCCGCTGGAGATGGCTCGATCACATCCTATGCATGGTATCTGAGCGTCTACCGCGTCGCTCTATCCGCTTGTCAAGGACCTAGCTGGAGGCGACCACATGGTGGTCAGCTTTCCACTTGGCGACAGCACATGAAATGGCTAACGTGTCTAACCGCTGTTGGCTCCGTACGTCTTCCAGGACGGGGATCCAAAGATGAGGGGTGCCAATTGCTTAACTAACTTGCAGACATGGTCCGCAACCGGAATCAGTGGAATAATTATTTACAGCATTCTATTGATTTACATGTTTGATACTGCAAACATAGAAACATTGAAACACTGAAAAACATCGGCGTGTGAAAAATAAACTAAAAATGCTTTGTTCTACTTTTTGTCATAAGGTTCCTTCTTTCCTGCGGCCTAGTAGCTGAAGTGTGTTGCTCACCTACAACAACTACGCTAAGATGATTATGACGCAGTGAATTCCCCTTGTCTGCTAATCTCCATGGCTTTGTTGGCTTTATGTCTGGTTGCTAGGCAGTTGCGATTACATACATACATACGTTACTTGTGAAAGAAATTACTGTGAGCAAATAGTGGGTCCGATCTTTTCTACTGAGCTGGAGAACCGTTGGACTGCAGGGTGTCATTCCGTACATCTTTCTCCCTTCATCTATTGCTTGTGAACCATATAGGCTTGAGTAAATTATATCTGGATAGGGGAGGAGTCTTTAAACCGTAGACACTGGCTTCACCAAGTTTCCCTTAATGATAGGGAGTTATTAGATTGATTCATCTAGTCACTGCGTTAATAGTATTTGTAAACCTTACACACAAGAGGTGATAAGACGCCCGTTACATTAGGAAGTAAGCATGAGCGTCTGCAGTTCAGAAGAATTCCGCCCCTCTTAAGCTGCCTTCCAAACACAACCAAATCATGGAACTAAGCACGAAAACCGTCAGCCATTAAGTGGAATGGGCTTAAAATGCAGTGAAACTACGGCAGTCCACGTGGACACATCCGTTCCTAATGTGTTCTACTACACCAGGAAACTTGCTTTAAGCGCAAATAGGCATTAGACCCTGAAACAATACCCGAAGTTCTCAAGCATTCTCTCTTCAACTATGAAATCTTCCAAAACATGCATATTCCTACTGCTGCTTGGTAGCTTATTTTTAGTCGGGCTTTGCTCTATCATCCTGTAACTGAGTAGTGCACCGAGTTTGTCAGATTTCGGACCATTCATTATGGATTGTCTTATATTCTACCACCATATGTGCCCTTTATAATGTAAATAAATGGCCAAAAGGCGAACTTTTCTGATCAGCTTATGATCGAGCTAATTTACATTATTGCACATCCATGAAAATGCCTCCAAGGGTATGTCTCATATAGGTTAACTATTTATTTAGTTAAAAGGTAGCTGCTTCACTGATGGTGTCTGTGCAGGGCCCACTGACCGCCCATTTATTGTCAGAATCGACGACGATATTCCTATTCGATTAAGCAGGGATTGGATCCATATCGTAAGGTTG